ATAGTGAAAAGTGGGTGTTACATTGTACAGTCGCATTAAGTGCCAAAATGTGCACCTCTGCCTACCCCTTCGGGGATAAAAAGGCGTAATGTTATGTATGTTATGTTATGTAAATTGTATAATAATTTTGTGTTTTTGAAAGCTTTTTACTGAAAGCGATTCAAATCGATGGTAAAATGTACTACATTTGTGTAGGTATTACGGTTAATTTATATCATTAGATTGTTAACTACTATTAGGTACTATGTAAACAACGGTGAACAGTAAATATTTTTAATTTTAGTTCTTTGTGGAATCAACAATTAAGAAAATAACTACTTCATATAAATTTTGAACGACATATTTATATCTGAAATCTGTAAACATAAAATTAAAAAGAACTAAAATTAGAATTATACTTTGAACAAATCTATCGTCTGATATTTCCCCTAGTAGCTGATAATTTTTAAATGTTAATTTGTATTTACTGTAAAATAAATGTAACATTGTAATTAATAACTTCTTTGATTTTGCAGCTACCAGACATAGCTAATTCCAATACTACCTTCAATGTACCAACCTGCAAGGTACATTGTTGGTAATATTGGCATTAGCTATACTTAGGATTATCTGTAGACGTTAGTAAAAAAAAAATATACTAGGATCCAATTTTCAGATGGCGTTTCAAATTGATTGGCATAAATTTTTGACGAGTGGCAACTCTTATCCCCTATACTTATTATACTCTTTGGTCCGGAATGTCTGTTTTCGTTATTAGTAGTTGTGCGTTGTTTGTTATGGCGTTCTGAAGGACAGAAGTGTAATAAACGAAAAACTTGGCGTTTTTTAATCACACAGTTCTCTGCACTTACCTATTAATTTTGTGTTTTATATTGATGGCTAATAGTTTCGCAAATTATTCTACATCAAATTAGATCATCATGTCTGTAGCATTTGCAGCACGCGGAAATCGACCTCCTTTGAGCCCGGCGCAAATTCAAAAGATGTTAGATGAAAATGCTCATCTAATTCAAACTATTCAAGAATATCAATCAAAAGGTCAACTTATGGAGTGTCATCAATATCAACAAGTTTTACACAGGAATTTAGTTTATTTGGCGTCGGTTGCAGATGTTAATCAAAACATTCAAAGCATACTTCCGGTAACTATCAAATCTTCTATTCTATAAACAGTGACTTAAGTTAGGGACATGTGTAAAAAGAACTGATAATATCAGTGCAACCATCCTCTGAGAATGTTTAATATAATTACATACTGACTGACTGAATGTACTGGACTGTAAACTAAGACTAAATATATCCAAATTTTAAAATTAGTATTTTAACTAACTTCTACTCATGGCTTTGCCCACATTCTCTGGTTAAAATTAGCTCAATGTGTTATTTCACACTTTATTCTATGCTTGTACCAAATTTAACTCGTCGAGTACCGGTTTTGTAGACACAATTATAAAACAATAGGTTGCGGTCACCGGTGACCGCTTGGTGTTTGACAGTTTAATTCCAATTCGTCCAGTAGATATTGCATGAAAGAGTTAACATACATAATTATGTACAACTTCAAAAACTAGGGGATGGATTTCAACGGGTTAATTATTTCAAAAAACATTTCCTGCTGGGGTAATGTTACCCCAGCCAGACCTTTTTCTTTCAAATGGGAATATTTAAATAATTACTAGCTATAAAATTAGTTGTCTAGATGAAGTAAATGTTGTGCCCTGTTTTGTATTTGTTCTTTCATCGGTTGCGAAGTTATTCGAGATTTTGCTGGGGTAACATTTTTGATTTTGCTAGATATTTGAAATGGTTTAGCAGATTCTAGTACCTAAGAAGTAGAATTATAAGATCATTGAATGGTTATAGATGGGTACACAATATTCAATTGTTTGGCAAGGTAAATTTTTCTGTTAAAAATTTTGCAGCTTGTTTCACTTTTGGACCAGTTTCTTTTAGAACATTATTTTTACAGCCTCCTCACCAACTAGCAGCTGGCAACTCACAAGCACCTCCAATTAATTCACCGTCTCCTAGTGGTGGTGAAGTGTCTGGGGGGCCTCAATCTTCTTACAGACCTCCCGGAGTGTCTACAACACCAACAAGACCAACACAGTCTTATGGTCAAAGACCATATCCGCAAAATCAGTACCAAGGTCAATATCAAGGTGCTCCAGGTGGGTACCCTCCACAACCTGGTTATGGACCACCTAGTCAAGGTTATGGACCCCCTAATCCTCCTCAACAGCCTCAAGGTTATCCTCCAAACTCAAACTATGGTCCTCCTATAACAACTACTCCAAGTAATTATCCACCATCTACACACCCAGGCCCAGGGTATCCACCATCATCAGCGCAGCAACCTTATGCACCACCTCCTGGCAGTCCAGCTGCTGCTGGAACACCCTATCCTGTGCGTGGTGCTTCACAACCTGCTTATACTGGTAATTCAGCCTATCCACCATCACAAACAGGTTCAAATTATCCCAATGTAGGTGTTAGCACTTATAACAATTCTACTGGCTCTCAACCTCAACCATACCAATCCCAACCTTTTCCTAATACTACACCAACATCAGCTTATAGTACAACTCCTACATCACAGCCAAATCGTTCTCCACAGCCACCACCCACTGGTTATTCAACACAAAATCCACCCACTTCTGGTTATGGATCTCCATCAGCTCAATCCCCTACATATAATTCTAGTTCGCATAATAATGCCCCTCCAACATCAGTAGCGTCTGGGGCGCCAACATCAGGTGGACCACCAGGTCAACAGTACCCTCCACCTGGACAGGCTTCTCCTTACCCACCAGCAACTCAGCCTCCTTACTCAAATCCTTCATCGCAACCAGGAAGTCCTGCGCCATCAGTTTCTACAGCGCCACCTCCACAAGGTTCATATCCTCAAAATCCCCAAAATTATCCTGCCGCAGGAGGTGGTTATCCACCTCATGCTTATCAGCAAGGTTATCCCCCAGCGCAATATCCTCCCTCGCCGTACCCATACGCCCGTGCTCCAACACCTGGAGCTCCACCTCCTGGTGGTCCACAACCTTATCCTGGATATGGTTTCCAACCACCAACTCAACAGTAAAAATGTTGTATTTTTAACTCCAGATTATTATTAATCTATACTTATGTATACAGGTGTCCGGTATGTGCACCATAGGTACTGTGAGGGGGTGAATAGGCTGGGATCAATACCTTCCTAAACAACCTAACACATATAATGTTCAGCGAAATTGTACGGTTTATAATTAAAATAATTATACCACATTGTCGCAAATATCGAAAAATCGCTACCTTGACACATATTTTTAGCAAATTTTATACATCAAATTATTAGTGAATAATTCTCTATTGATTGATAGACCTTTTTTATATAAGAAATAATGTATGTATTTAGGAAAAACTAATTCTTATGTCAATTTTCGTAGAACAATTTTCTTGTCGCTCACTTTAACTTACAGCAGCAATGTAGCAGTTTTGTACAATAAGTGTAAAAACATAGAGTATTTTCATCGTCGGCTTCAATTTGTTCATGAAAAGACCAGACAACCTCTGTTCTGAAATTGACTACAACGATGATGAAGTCCATTGTTCATTCAGTGCTATTGGAGTTATTGACACCATCGATTTCACGCATCATTACCCGTACAAACTATTTCAATGAGTTTTTCTTAATATTACCTATTTAAAATGTCAATTTTTGACAGTAATAATACTATTTTAACTAAAATAAAAAAATAAATCGTTTTATCAGTCTGCGTGTAGGTGAAAATTAAGCATAATAAGATCGCATTGTTCTTGTAACATCTGTTTTTTTAATAATTCACGTAAATCCAGAGATCCTCGGAGTAGGTACTTAACTAGTATTTAGTCTCAAAGTACTATTCGATATGCTTGAACATTTTCAAGAAAATCGGCCCCTCTTCGACTAGATCAGATTTTTTTTATAATTTTGTTGTAAGAATGTACTATTATTATACTTTTCCAAAATACTATTAGATGAGGTAGTTTTACCGCTTATTGTACAAAACAGTTCCGGGACAAGAAAATTGTTCTGCGAAAACTGACAAAATAAGTAGCTTTTCCTAAATACTATTTTATTTTTGATATAAAAAGACGTACTAATCATGAAAGTATCCACGAATAACTTAAAGTACAAACCTTAGTTTTATTCACTGAGGTATGCTAAAAGATGAGTGTCAAGGTAGTGATTTTTCGATATTCGCGAAGAAGTCGTATAATTTTTAAATCGTACAATTTCGCTGAAAATAAAAATTCGCTGAAAAATGAGGTTGTTAAGGTAGGTACTAATCCCAGCTAGAAAAATGAGGTTGTTAAGGTAGGTACTAATCCCAGCTATCACCCCTCGTAGTATAATAGTGCACTAATAACTGGACAACCTGTAAGTATATCTACATTTTATTCTTTGAATACTGGACTGGATATATTTATTTGTAGTTGTGATAGGAATAATGCAACGGGAATGTTCCCCAAAAAATGATAAGTGAAAGATAGTTTTACAGGCAAGACTATTTTTAAAAGCGACATCCTGGTCTTTGAGAATAAAAATAAATTTGGTAATTAAGTAATTGCATCAATATTTATCAATAGTGGTGTATTTATTATTATTGTATCTATCTAATAATTACTAATGTTTTTTTTTTTACTATATGTAATTTTATTCAAATTAACAAATGACCACCATTCACAGGAGCAAATGCATTGCATTTTGTAAAATTATTATAACTACTTTATTAAAAACTCGCGCGAGTTCACCCGGTGCTCGGCACTAAAATAATTCGAAAAACGTTCAAACAAATTGTTCAGTTTTATAATATTATATTTATTAAATATTCTCCTGTCGTGTGTGCGTTCACAAATACAATTGGGATGTCGATAGGGTATGAAAATTAAAAATCTAATTAGTGCGTAAGTTAGGTAATTAAAAAATATTAGACACGTATTTTTTTATTTTGTCGTATAATAAAACAATACTTAGATAAAACGAATCAAAGTTTAGGAGTGGGGGCTAAAACGTCATTTCTACGTATAAAATGTACATAAAAGTGACGTCACGCGTAATTTCAAATCAATATATCGTCGAAAGTATTCGTTTCTGTAAGAAAATAAAAAATACGTGTGTAATGATTTAAAATAATCTACCAGATGGACATTAAAATAAAAATTAGTCGTCTACCCTATTTCACATAGACAATACACCCAGATCTGAAACAACAATTTTTTGGACCTCATAAACATTTTTATTGTACCCAATGTACATACATTATATTTTAACAAAGCATTTGCTCCTATAGGTCAATACTTTTAATGTTACTTTAAGAAAACCAATTTGTCAAAAATGTCTGTAATGTTAAAATGTGGTGAATAGAGTTTGTGCGGCGAAAAGGGACAGAAGAGGGGTGAATCGATACTATGAAGAATTTCCTTATATCTGTTTACCCCTCTTCACCCCATTTAGCGGTACCTATTTATCCCTGTGGATTGTGTAGAAAGACAGTATGCCTGTGCGTAACTAATTACTGCTGTACAGTTTACTGTAAGTGTAAATCAATGTACCAATACAGTTCATATAAGTTAAATTATAAACTTAAAATTTGACTGAAAGCTCGTTCTAAGTCCTCTGTCCGTTTTCACTAGAAAACGTAAAAGTAGAATTATCCTTTGCTGGTGAATTGACCTTGCTAGAATTGATTGTAATTATTCAAGCTGTAAGCGCTTGGAGACCGAAACATTACTCATTTCCTTACATAGCGCATGTCTGTATCTTAAAAATTGAGAAATGTTTATATAGTTTTCAGGTATAAAGAATAAGATAATCTATGAGCTGTTATTATAAGAATTAAAATATAAGTTTTCTTAATACTGTAGTCTGGCAAGAAGTTTGATGTGGTGACAGTTAAAATAAAAACTTAATTTGTGATAAGTACTTTCTTTTGACAATCCCAATCGATACCATTATCCCTATCGGTATTTATATCTATTCGTAATATTTATATCATGCGATACTTACAACAATTATTTATCCACCATGGCTACATGCCTTATTTATTTCTTCTTTACAATTACAGTGAATGGCAGCCTTATAAGGCATTCTCTTGTGTCGTCGTATATAGTAGGTAGGTAATTGCTTTATTACAAAAGATGGAACAGTATAGTACAAAGGTAGGTATGTTTAGAGCTACCTTTAAAAAAGCCAAGTCACTATATCACAGTGACGTGTGCGTTACCCAGGCCAGATGTTGTCGAAAATGATCATTTTGAATCTTATAGATAATTAGTTGTGCGGCTTCTGTAATTGTTTTTTGTTGCGCTTATAGTTTTTTAATTATTTCATAAAAACATTTCCTGCTGGGGTAACGTTACCCCAGCCAGACCTTTTTCTTTCTAATGGGAATATTTAAATAATTACTAGCTATAAAATTAGTTGTCTAGATGAAGTAAAGGTAACTGTAACGCACACCACAGCGACTCATAGAGAATAGATGGTTAAATTAGTAAGGACTAAGGATTAGGCCTCTAGTGGACGTTTTTCGGGTGATAATGAAAGAGACGAAAAGAGATTTCGATAAATAAGATTAATGCGCATGATAAAGGCTAATTTTCGATTAACGAAATTGTTAACGAGTATTCGTAGTTCCATAATTCACGGGTGTGGAATAGCCTCGTTTCCTTTAGTTACCTGGCACCCAATAACAGATTCAAAGAGCGTGATTGCAACATAGCCATTTCTTCGGGGAATAAAAAGTCATGGCGTCATGTAGTTGAATACTTGATATGTTTAGCTTTAGCAATAGTTTCGGTCTCAAAATGATAATGGAACTAAACAATGTAATAGGTGGCAGTTTGTGAATCTACTCCGCGGGTAAATAATGATTATGCATGATGTCATAAACTATATTTTTAACAAGCTTTCATTGCTATACATAGGTAATAAGTATATACCTTAATAGTAACTTGTACCAAATAAAAAAATATTATGTTTACGGCTTACTCACGTAATTATTTGACGAGGAACTCGACTCAGTAGCAGCGCGACAGTCGCGAAATGCTGCTCATCATTATGAGCCTCTAGCATGGCTTGAAACTAGTCGAGTTCCTCGTCAAATAATTACGCGAGTAAGCCGTAAACATACCTAATAATTTATTTAGTATGTTTCACGAAAGTTATAATACCATTATTTAAACTTCTTCAAAAGTAATTGAACTTTCGTCAAAACGTTGAACAGATTCATCAAAATATTCCAATGGTAAATCTTCAACCAATGGTTGTGTGGGGAAAGGAGGTGATGTTGAATGCTTTTTGAGTGGAAGAACTGTATCAAATAAATAACACATCGCTCCTGTTTCCCCAGGTATTGCCACACCTAATGTCCAAATTACATTATGTTGCGTATTTATGCGCAGGATTTTTACACCACGTAGAATCCGCCATCTAGAAATGAAAAAAAAATATTGCAAATGGAAACTATGATTATATTATTTTTTTTCAACTTTTTTGTCATCAGCAATTTACCTGTTTCCCATGTGTCCAGGCATCTTAGTACCAGGCCAAACCCTTGCTTTCTCACCACCAGAACCAATATTTCCTGGTCTTCTATGAGTTTTGGTGACACCATGTGATGCTGGCATACCTTTAAATCCCCAACGTTTCATAACACCCTGAAATCCTCGATCCATTCTGTAAACATTTTTGCATTATACACACTTTACTATAAAAATACACAGGAAGTATCATTTTAACTCATTAAGTACTGTCATTATAGACACAATTAAAGAACAATAGGTTGCGGTCACCGGTGACCGCTCCTTGTGTGACAGTTTAAAATATATTGGAATGTAGCACAATGTAACCATTAAGTTGCCATTACATTTATAGAATGGTGTAATCGCAAATGCTTTCACAACCATCAACTGGAAAAAAAATATGTTTACAAAATTGAAATATTTCATAAAAAAGCTTAAAACATTATTAAACTTGTACTTACGTTTTTGCTCTTACATCTATGTAGTCCCCTACCCTAAAATGTGTAGCAAACAATGGTGTTCCTGGTGAGATATAAGATTCTGGTGATACCATGAACCTAAATAGATGTCTTTTAGGTAGCATGCCTGAATTATTGAACAGACCGCAGTATTCTCTTGTGACAGTACTAGGATCTATAGTCTCCGATCCAACTAACATACATCCCAATTTTCGTTTTTCTTTCCATTGAACAGATGAGGTTTTCATAGGTTTAAATTCCTCAGGAGGGATATATTTGATGACATGGTTATCTACAACCTTAAAATAAAAACATATTTAATAATTTATTTAGATATTTACATAATTATAAAATACTAGCTTCTGCCCGCGACTTCATACGCGCAATCATAAGAACCTTCAGTCATAAGAACCTTCTCCAGACAATAACAAACACAACAAAAAACAGAAATCAGCCAAATCGGTCTAGGCATTTTCAAGTTATGTTGTGACAATAAATATATATATATAGATTAGCAGCAGCACTTTACAAACCTAAAAGATTTTAACCAATTTCAAGAAAGTTTTAATGTGACCTGTAAGTATGTATTTTGTCCACGATTATCTTACTTATTGCAAGATATTGGCTAGTGGTTTTTAGAAGTGTAAGTTACACTTAGAATCCGGTTCTAGTACATTAAAATACTTCAAACAACAGGAGGTTAAAGTGACACTATCAATGTCATTAGTCCAGCTAGCTGGAATCTGTCCACACTAAACCATCCAGTTCGTGGTCACCACTCAAGTAGGTTCCTGACCCATCGGCCATTCATCTAAATCAGTTATCTCTCTTAAATGTTGTATAAATAACATACCTGCAATAGAGTAGTAAGAACTTTTTTCCCATCTTTAGTCCAAAGAGGATAATTGCCTATTTTACGGGCTATGAGTCCTACCCTACGAGTCTGTGGATTCCATGTGGATGTTTGATTTTGGTCAATATTAAGTAGAGGCGATTGTAATGAATTCTGTAGTTGCATTTTATCCTGCATAACTTCCTCAATGAATTGCTTGTTTTCTTGAGTAAGAAACTCATCTGATGTCTAAAATGTAAAATTGAAGAATTATAAACAAAATCATTGTTTTGTCAAACACTGTCGTTTATTATCAGTTAAACCAACAACGTTTATAATTTCAGAATTACACATACCGCACTTTCCTTAGGTGCATACCAATAAGGGGGTCGGTACCTAGGGCGTTGGAGAGATCTAGTGAACACATGATCTATTCTGTAATAAAATAAATAAGTACTTTAATTTGATGTTACTTAGCAAACAAAATAAATAGATGATAACAGTATAATTTATAACCTTAATTTACTAAAGGCATTGCGTAAAAGATTCAAATTTCCAGTAGCCATTATGAATTCTTGTACATGTGGAAATATTGAAATTGGTTTCACAATAATGTTAAGTCTGTGAAACGTTTTTCAGTGAATAAAATCGGTATATTTTAACATTAAGATAAATACAATACACCGACCAAATGATCAATGCTCCTCAAGAACAAGACAGTCAGTACTGTCATCTGTCATTGTCAATCTTAAGATATCAATGCTGTCAATAGTGTCAAATTGTCAATGTCAGCACTTTAGGGTTGGGAAATTCCCGTTGATTTCCCGACTAAATTACTTTCCAAAGGTTATTGATTGATATTTTAGAATACGGTAAGTAGTAATCTACTTCCACAATTCTAGCTAATCAGTCAAAGGGAGTTTCTCTGCCCTCTATTCCACATACGTTTGCATATTATTTATCAATCTATCACCTCTATAGACTTTAAACTGTGGCGGCCCGCGGCCATTTTGCGCGAATCGAAGCAACTGTGTCGCCACCTCTTGGGTAGTCCGCGCAATATCGGCGCGTGTGGATAAAATGACAATATCTCAAAAGTTTTATATGGGAGCTTATATAAAACTTATATCGTTGGA